ATATATATATATATATATATATATATATATATATATATATATATATATATATATATATATATATATATATATATATATATATATATATATATATATATATATATATATATATATATATATATATATATATATATATATATATATATATATATATATATATATATATATATCTGTGTGTGTGTGTGTGTATCCACACACACACACACATATGAAAAAAGTTTATGAATACGCAAAAGAATATTTTAATGAAATGAGCCTAGAGAGCCAAGTTTAGAAGTTTGTGCCGGTCTTGATCACATTAATACCGACTCAATTTATTTCTAAGTCTTCGTTCTTGGTTCTCGTCTCTCAATTCATCATGCCATGTTCCTTCGCCTTTGATTCGCTCAGTTTAATCTTGTTATCACGGCGGTTTGGCATTATCAAAACCTGTCATAAAACGAACACGGTTTAGTACGACGTAGGCGTAAACCTGTGTTCCAACAATTTGCCCCTTTTGATAATGGAAAACAAGACGATATGCATACTAAGGGATATTTGAATTTCAAAAAGTGTGAAAAAGTTACCCCTTAATTTGTGCTTAAAAGCAAGTAGTGTTAGAACAAGTGCCCTTTACTAGAGAGGGGGTGAATAGTGAGGCACGAGAATGTTTGAGTCTATGGCATTAAAATCACCTCCCATGATCCAAGGGCAGTGAATTGAGTCTGAGAGATGGGTAATGGAACTCCAGAGATCCCTTCTTTCTTCCTTGGTATGAAGTCCATAAATAACTGAGATTATGCAGGGTGTGTTGAGGGGGGAGGAGGAGAAATGGAGGGTCCCCATCTGGGAAGAGGTATGAGTCTGAGCAGTGGGGTCAATGGTGAAGTAATCTGATTTCCAGAAAGCCCAAACTTTATTATTACAGAAGTGTTTAGAGAAGTCAAATCCAAGGCTTATTTGGTAATTGGAGATATGGTTGGGGTTGCTTTTAGGTTCCATAATGGCTAAAAAGTTTATGTTAGAGTCTTTGATGAGAATAGATAGCCTTGGAAGGTTTTTGGCTATCCCTCTGATATTCTAAAAAAGCATATTCATTGAGAGAGGAGGCTGAAAGAATTGTATGAAGAGGATTTCTCTTGTAATCTGGATGATCTTCTAACACTTGGATTGTTTCTTTTGCTTTTTGCAGGGATAAAAGAGTTTTCATCTTCTGAGTAATAAGCTAGTTCATGCAGATGTTTCTTGGAAGGGATGAGATCATCCAGGACTGGAGGAGCTTCAGAAGTTTGCATTTCCTTGAGAATGTGCTCATCTCTTCTTTCTACAAGAAGGCAGAAGAGGTTAGAGAAGACTTCTTGATGGAATCTGATTTTAAATGCTGACTGTTCCAAGTCTGGGTTAAGGGGTGAGAGGGTTGGGGATGGCTTCATAGAAGGAATATTTGTGAGGGAATCAAGTTTGGAGTCTGAGATAAGGTTGCTAGGGTGAAAAAATTCAGGGTTTGAGGGAGTTAAATTTTGAGGGTGGGGTAATGGTGTGGCACTTGGTGTGAGAGGGGTAGCTGGGATGGGGTTGGTTTCTTGGGTTAAACAGGTAAGAGGGTTAAGGGGCTCAGAAGACGGTTTGTCTATTTGGGTGGGAGATAAAGTGGGGGGGTCAGAATTTGAGGGGACAGTGGGTTCAGGCCCAGTGGCAGCAGGTACTTTGGCTTTATATGTTTGCTTTGGTTTTGCAGGTGGGGCATTGGACGAAGGAATCAGAGGTTGCTGTTGGGAAGCTTTTGGAAGTTTGTTGTTTGGCATGCTGGGTTCTCCCATTGAAGGTTTTGTGAAAAATTTGTAGGTAGTGGCATGTCTATCTATCCCCCTGCATATCTTACAATAGTTGGGGAGATTTTCAAACTCAGCCTGCAGTAAATTGGGCTGGTCCCCATTTTTGACAAAAAATTGGTTTTGAATGCTTTGGGACAGGTCCATTTCAACACAAAATCTTGCAACAGATGGTCTGCTGAAGCTTTTAGTGGTGGCATCCATTTTGATTGGCTTACCAAAGATGTTGGCAATTGAAAAAAGGGCCCTTTTGTCATGGAAATGGATAGGAAGATTAGCCACAGAAATCCATACTGGGACTATAGGAGTTACCTTGTCTGGGGAGAAGTCTGGAGTCCACTTGGTGACATGCATTGATGCTCCTTGCACATTCCAATCCTTCCTAAGGAAAAGCCTTTGGAAGTCTTTCTCTGAGGCGAAGTTGAAGAGGACATGATGTTGATGAAGGAGGGTGACAGAGAAGCCAACAAAACCAATCTTCTCTAGCCAGTTCCTAATGACAGCCAGGGGGGTCTTTTGGCAAAAAAACTGCCTACCAAGGCAAATTGAAACCTGGCAGCAAGGTTTTGGACTTCACCTGGGGAGAAGGTAATACAAGGTAGTCCTTTAAACTTCTCAATGGGTTTGATGGGTATGGCAGGTTGTGGGGAGGAAACAGCATCTCTGAAACTCTTGGGTGCTGGAGAAGAAGAAGAGGGTAGGAGGTAGGTGTTGAGCTTGCCTACGGCAGGAGCAGGAGGCTCAACTGCCGTCGCCGGAGAGCCGATTGACATGGACACGCCGGAGAGCTAGAGAGAGAGAGAGATTATTATTATTATATATATATATATATATATATATATATATATATATATATATATATATATATATATATATATATATATATATATATATATATATATATATATATATATATATATATATATATATATATATATATATATATATATATATATATATATATATATATATATATATATATATATAACCAAAGACGAGCGAGCAAATAAAGATCTCTGGCGCCGGGTAGCCAGCGGCGCACTCCGATGGGCTGTTGCCCGTATACTTGCGCCGCAAGCCTTGATTTCTTGCTGTAATTAGGGTTGGGCGTCGGATTATTATCCTGTAAAGAACAGATATTCGAATACCTTCTATAACTTGGTTCAGCGCCGACAACGGAAGAAAAGCTTCCAGCAATTGGGGATTCGTTTCCATTCATCTCCCACCCGAAGACTATATTTTAGAGCTTTAGCAATGATAAAGCCCAGTGTTGATGACGAGTATGACGTGATGATTGAAGAAAATACAGAAATAGATGCAAGAAGAGCTCGGTTTCCCTGTTGCATTGTTTGGACACCACTTCCTGTCATGTCTTGGTTTATCCCTCTCATTGGTCACATTGGGATCTGCAGGGAGGATGGAGTAATCTTGGATTTCGCCGGGCCAAATTTTGTCTGTGTGGACAATTTTGCATTTGGAGCACCGGCACGCTACGTGCAAATAAGGAAGAATGAGTGTCGTGTTTCTCGCTACCCGGCTCCTTATGAAAGAGAAAACAGCTGCGAAATTGGGAGTGACATGGCTACATGGGATGGTGCATTGCATAAGAGCACAGAAGAGTTCCAACACCTGTCTTATAACCTTCTCACGTGCAACTGCCACTCATTTGTGGCCAATGCTTTAAACAGGTTGGGTTTCCAAGGCGGAGGCTGGAATGTCGTTAGTGTGGCTGTTTTTCTCGCTCTCAACGGACAATGGGTGAGAAAAACGTCTATCTTCCGAGCATATTTGCCGGTTCTTGTAGTGTCCTGTTTAGCATTGGCCTTTGGGGGATGGTCTTTTTTAACCATCTAGGGAATCTTCATTGCTATTCTTGTTGGCTGGTTTCTTGTGGGTTCTTACTGTTTCAAGAAGATGATCTATGTCTAGTAATTTTTCTTGCCACTTCTCTCCCTATTCAGTCTGCATCTAAAACTTGTTTTCGTAGTTCAATTTTTTTTGGAGGACTTTTTAAGTGATTTGGCAAGCGCAATTGATTTGGGCGTGTTGTGTAATGTTTATGAAGAGAAAATGATGGTGTGCATGATTGTCTTTGATTGTGTCAATATATATATATATATATATATATATATATGAATAATAAATTGTTTATTATTTTAGTATTATAATTTTAATATTTGGACATTTTAATTATATGACAATTAAGTTTGTCAAATATTATTTAAGGAACAAAATATAACATAACTATTAAATATATATATATATATATATATATATATATATATATATATATATATGTGCGTATATATATATGTATATGTATATATATATATATATATGTTCGGCGTGTGTGTGTATGTATATATATATATATATTGAAGAAATTTTTATATATTAATTAAGCCGAATCGAGATACAAGTTTTGTCACATGTAATTGCTCCCCTAACATTTTTGGGAAGAGAAGTGAATGATAAATAGTCGGAAAACAGATTGTTTTTGAGTGCATATTTTGCCAGATTATGTGCCGCTGTGTTTTCTTCTCTGTATATGTGGCTGGCATTCCCATGTCTTGCTTGTAGAATTGTCTTTATGTTGAAGCTGACTGTATCTTCTCTATTTTTCGCATTAATTCTATTTATTACATTTTTGGAGTCCATGCAGAGATTTATTTGTCCATGAAGAATTTTTGTGGCCCATTGTAGGCCCAATAGTCCAGCTTCCAGTTCTCCTTCTTCTGCGTTGGTCTTCTGTTGAAGCATCCTTGCCATACCTCCAATGAAATCTCCGTTGGTTGTTCGTAGGATTGCACTACCCACCATTATTCCATTGCCTACTGCCACATCCGTGTTCACTGTAGTGTTAGTAGCTTGCCATTTGAAGATTTGAACGGCTGGTGTATGTGCAATTGGATATTCAAAGGTTAGAGAAAATTTCCCTTTTCCTTTTCCAATAGTCCACTCGATTAGTTTGTTCCAAATAATCTGAATGATCTGAGTTGTTGTTTTTGATTCTTCTTGATGCTTTCTGCGATTTCTTTCCTTCCAGATTTCAAAAGCTATGATTCCAGGAGCAATTTTCTTCTGTGGATTGTTGCTTGTAGTGTG